CCTGGTGGTATTCCTACCCTGCTGGTGTCCATTGGCTATTATATTCCAACTTGTTTGGATGCTAATATCCTATGAATTGGTAAATTATCGCTACTGATTTAGAAATTATCAAACCATTTATGGGCAAAATATACCCCAAAAGGTTTTAACTTTAGTCAGTAGAGAGCCTACACCCACTGCTGAAATGATTGTCCATGATGTTTCAAATTCCCACCCGTTTCATTTTAAATTTCCTAAGTTGCCAGCTTTCCGATCACATATTCAGTTCACGTCTTCCCACTTTATGAACTTCCACGGTGCCTCCATCCCCGGCGCAATTATAAATTCTCTTATTTTGCCTGGCCCTGTTGACTGGAATTTACTGCTCACGGCTTCCGCCCTTCTGCTTATGGAAGGCTCAAGGATTATTTATTGAGCCTCACTAGTATATCTAAATTTGCCAAATTTTTTTCCCCTCTCTCTTATAGTCTGAAATGGAGAGGCTGTTTACTTCAATCGATGCCTGTGAAAACAGCAGCTCATGGAAGCTAGTTAGAAGCAAATTCCCAAGTAACTTGGACTTGGCAGCGTTCCATTACCTTTGATTATCAAAGGGCAAAATTAATGGGCAGTTCATGAGGCTGTGTGACAGAGAGGTGACAGGGAGTCGCTGTGATTCAAATGGCAGAAGTCAAGGAGTTGTTTATCCTCGCTACCATTTCAGTCTCTCTCTCATCACATGTAAAAACTGTCTGACTCCTGTGGCCACTGAAATGGGCTTTTCCTTCCAGACCACTTAGTCGCATCTCTGGTGTTTAGAAAAGTAATCTTTAATGAATGCTAATCAAGTTTCTAATTATATTATCTTTATCTTTAATGTTTGTGTATCAGATGAAAGGCAAACATTTTGGGGCCAGTCACGAAGGACATGAATAATTTTTCTTAGAAGCTTAATTAATTAGTTGTATTGCTCTACAATGTCTTGAAAATTTGAACTGCCATCATTTCATTAATTTAGATAAAAGTGAACTTTCAGCATTTAATGATGACATGTTGGAAATTATGATAAGTTGCAAAATTTTTAATCATGCACAGTTATTTAATACAGACAATAATAACACATTTTGAGGATATTTGGGGGATGTGGGGTACTAGTTTCTTGTTTATTTTATTGTGTTATTCTTAACACTTTCAAGGAATTGCCATAGTAAATTTCTGGGACACTCGTGTACCTAGAAAAATATTTTTAAAAAGTAACTGTGCTTGGCATTCTGCTTTATTGATAATTTTTAAAACTGTAAATTTCAAGAATTTTTTTTACTGGCTCACCAATGATCATGTGATATAGTTTATACTCATTATAACAGAAGACTCTTCCTGATTGGCTTCAACTTTCTGCCCTGAAGTCACCACCAGCCAGGTCTCTGGATGCTCTCACCATTGGAGCTACTGATTATTTTATTAACAGCTTGGTCTCCGGGCTTCTGGGCCTTTCTACACGTGGCTGACTTCAATCTAAAAGACTTGTCTACCTTTCTTCACCCAGGATATGTCTACTCACTATGTAAAGCTAATTCAGAAGTCATCCCTTCTTTTAAATATTTCCCATGAATTTAGAAAATATTCTTCCACTGCTTTTTGTAAAGGAATAATATGTAGGGTACATGAGGGTACAACAAACCCTTATTTCCTGGAATACTGTAGATCCCTTAACTGTAGGAACTTTGTCTTAGTAACTGGGAATACAGAGGTAAATATTTACTGAACAAATAAAGAGAACAATGATAAAAGAATAAATGAATGAATGACAAAATTCTCAGAAGAGAATCTAAGCTTATATCTGATAATATTTTGAAACATGAATTCAAGCAAGGAAGTATAACTAAATTAATTTCTTATATCTTTGTTTGCTAGGACAAGAGCAGATTTGGGATAGTACCATTCTATTCAGTCCCAAATAGCTTTCAGGAAGGAGGAATGCAGGAGGTTGAATGGTCAAACTCAAAAATATATGTCCAGGTCCTAATCCTGGGAACCTGTGTCAATATGTTGGAAAAGGGTATTTGCAGATGTAATTCAATAAAGAATCTTAATATGAGATCATTCTAGATTACCCGGTTAGGGCCCAAATTCAGTACTAAGTGTTCTTGGAAGAGTAGATGACCCCAGAAGAAGAGGAGATAGCCTTGTGACAATCAAGGTAGAGACTGAGTTACGCAGCTCCAGCCAAGGAATGCCTTGGCTTCTCTTCCCTCCCTTTCTGATTCTCTCTGGCCACTTACTGGCTTACAATGAATCTACCAACTCTACCAATCTTCCCCCATTTGCCTTTCACAACAACCTCCATTATTTTTAGTGCATAGATGGACTTGAACTTCTCCACATTCCTTTGCAAATGAAGTTGGCTTATTTAAAATATATATTTTTATACTAGTGTATATATACTAGTATATATATATATATCTCCGGTGCATGAAAATACATGCACTGGAGGGGGGTCCCTTAGCCCGGCCTGCCCCCTCTCACAGTCCGGGAGCCCTCAGGGGTGGGAGGCAACCCGGCGATCAGGGGAAGGTGACGCCCCCATCACCCCTCTGCTGCTGCCACTGCCACTGCCGGCAGCACAAGCCTCAGCCGGCCCTGGTTACCTGAACTTCGAGTGGCCCTGGGTGGCTGCCAGCTCTGGGCTGGGGGGCTGAGGGGACTGGGCACCACCATCTTGTGGCTGTGGGCACCGCCATCTTTGAGGGCAGGGCAGTAAATTAGCATATTCCCTCCTTATTGGCTGTGCGTGCCACCATCTTTGAGACACGTGAGGGTCAATTAGCATATTCCCTCTTTATTAGATAGGATTATTGATTTCAGAGAGGAAGGGAGAGGGAGAGAGAGATAGAAACATCCATGATGAGAAAGAATCATTGATTGGCTGCCTCCTGCATGCCCCCTAATTGGGATCGAGCCTGCAAACCAGGCATGTGCCCTGACCTGGAATTGAATAGTGACCTCCTGGTCCATAGGTCAACGCTCAACCACTGAACCACACTGGCCTGGTTGAAGTTAGCTTCTTTATAAGAAATTCAGAGCCCTCTGCTTTATGCTTCTCTAGCCCATCCCCAGAACCTGAGCCAAGGATCTGGAGTGTCTCTCTAAGTAACTTCTGCTGTAGGAACTTAGAGTTCTGTGGAGGGGGAGATAGTAGCCTCAGTCTTCCTGGCTACTCTCTCAGCAAGAAATATCCCCCTTGACCATGTGCCCAATACGATCATAATACTTTTAATGTTTTCTCATATAATGTCATAATTCTGTAAATCACATGTTACGTTCTTGAGTTTCAATTTCTGCAGGGATAACATGAGGTCAAACAAACTGATCAGGATCATGTAGGGTGTAGGAGGCAAGGATGGACCTCCAAACATCATTTACTGCCAACACTATATTATTCCTTTTACTCTTCAGTAACTACTCTTCAGCTCATGGTCAGGCTAGAAAGAGATATAAACTTTAAGCATATAATCAGACCTTATTTCAAATCATTATGCCTTATTTATCTAATTTACTCAAGTAGATAAAGTATGAAATATAAGTTCCTTATCTTAAAGTCAGCTGCTATACTTTTAAATAAAACTTTTTCTTTCATCAAAAGTTGGAGGTGCATGCTTTCTTTGTGAATGAAGAATGAATTAATCCGTTAGATATAAGATAGTAAAAGAGAAAGGATGTATCAGGTGACCTATCTAAGGCCATTGGCTTGATTTGGGAGAAGTGAGATTATGTTCCATGACTCAGGTGGTTGGAATTCCAAAGGATAGTAGTCATCCATCCTTAAGTAATCACATCAGAATACTGGAGAGTAGCCATGCTAGTTAACCAGATTTAAATCAGGTAGCATTTCATTGCCAGTGGGGTTGACCAAGTATAAATTTGTAACATGGCTCTGATCATTTGGTCTGTGCTTTAGAAATACCATCATATTTAAGAAAAAACACAATGATGAGTGCTCGAAGGTTTTAGAGATCTGAATGTAATCAATTATCAAAAAGCAGATTTGATCTATCAAATGCAAGTTGATTTCTTTATATTCAGAAGTCAAACGCTTTCCCCCTCATGGCTTGCTTATAAATATTTAGTGCCACAGAAACACAAATAAATAATTGGCCATCCCCCGTGCATTCTGCATAATTTACAAGGCATCAAAAGACTCTACAGGCAGAGTCAATCTATTGTATTTACTACAAATAAAAAATTATCACGTGGCCCAAGTCAGCAATGTATTAATGGACCAGATTTCTGTGTGTGTGTGTGTGTGTGTGTGTGTGTGTAACTTTTTAAATTTAAGGGCTTGAGGATTAAGGATTATGTATTAAATTATTTGCTATTGGGATTGACCTGGAAAGATTAGGAGATTATTATCTGTGTACATTGATGAAAATCTTTATGAAAACGAAAATATTAAAATGACTTGGGCTTATTTTATCCAAAACCATCCCAAGGTCAAGTTTTAATAAAAAATAAAATTCATAAAAAATGTGATCCCCCATCTTTAAGATTATTTTTTACTCATCGTGACGGACCAATCAACAATTGATTTGATTCTGCCCTTATGCTGGGTTTTTGTTCATCTTTCATAGATAGCCTGTCAAATGAGGGATAGCACAACATTGGGTTGTATTCTACCCAAGATAAACAAAGAGATAAATCTTTGTTGCCTACAGGATTTTTTTTCTTTTGTCTAATGGACTTTATTAATAAAATAAAGCTTTCTTCACCAGGGAAACTTTTTAATGATTCAGAGCAAAGCTCCAGCAAATGGTGTTTGGAATAATAATTTACACTTTTTTTTAAGCAGTGAAGCCCTGGCTATTTTTTCCCATTGAGTGGTCAGACTTCATAACCACCATGTTGAAACCACCCCCACGAGGGGGAGTTGAAACAGACATCCATGCTTTCAAGAAGAACGTTGAGTTAGTTGCACGTTACAATGAAATACCCTCAATGCTGATGTTATCTTTTCCTTCCCATAGGGAACCACAGTCAGATATCACGAGTACCTGTTGCTATTAAAGTGCTGGATGTCAATGACAACGCCCCTGAATTCGCATCCGAATATGAGGCATTTTTATGTGAAAATGGAAAACCCGGCCAAGTAAATATCTCCATGTTGTTAATGCTGATATGTTTGTATACGACTGTCTCACATTTGACTAACCTGCGGTAGAGTGTGCATCTGCCTTATTTTCATTCCGCAAAGTCACAGGCAAGAAACTCCGGGTGGAAACAGAGAGGGGGAGTGTTTTTCTTTCTGAGATGTTGGTTCTCCCTACGTAGGACCAGATTGGCTCAGGAAGTGGAACAGCCTGCTGGGCTGTGACCACAGAGCCAAAGAATTAGCTTAAACCCGGGGTATGGATGAGAGCAGGGGAGGGGTTGGCGTGATGGGGGCAAAAGGGTAAACTTCAAATGACAGGAAGCAAGGGGAAAGCTCATGGGGAGGGAATGCTTGTCTCATGTCAGACATAGAAATAACACAGACTAGGGGGACCCAGGTCAACCAGTTGTCTGAGGGTGTAGGAAGTGAATTTTGAAATCTGTAAAAATGTAGTTAATTCATTTTAACATAAGATAAACAACAGGTCTTAGACATGTAACTATAGCATCTGATAATTGTGTATTGATGGAATTTTTTTTTACCTGTCTCATGTAGTATAAATAGGAACAATTAAGAAAGGGGGTGAGTTAGAGGGCGGAGAGGTAAGGAGGGGGAAGGGAGAAGGGAAGGAGGGGAGGTTAGGAGGGGGGGAGGGAGGGAGTAGGAAGGAAGGGAACTTGTGAGGGAGGGTTGGAAGAAGAGAGGTATAAGCAAGAACAAAACCAAACCTGCTATGCTCTGAATGTCAAAATGGAAATAGTGTATGTAAAGTTCTAAAAACCCCAAATGTAATAGATTTATCTGAACAAGGTGCCAAAGGACTGTATGTTTAAGAAATTTATCATTTTTCGACTTACTAATTTATTTCTGGATGGTGACATTTTAATTTAAATAAACAGCAGCTGACAGCATGACACTGGAGTTGTTAATCCAACTATTCTTGTGCCTCATGTGGGTGTTAGGAATTAAACTTACTATTTGCTGAGCAGTTCACCTGACAAGAGTCAGACTTTTTTTTTCCCACCAAAAGAAAGGATTAGCACTGTGGCTCCATACTTTTCGTTTATTACAAAAGATCAGTGTGTTACCGTCCTTTAAAAACAGTGGACATTTTCTCCTAGACTACTCTCATATATCTGAACTATTAGCATCGTTTACCAAAATAACACACACACACACACACCCTCACAAACACACACACTCACACACACACACACTCACACACACACACACACTCACTCACA